AAACGCTCACCTGGCAGCGTCATTAGGACGAGAAGGAATGCCCTGTCTGTAGGGTCCACACATGGTAGCCGCTATCTTTAGCTAATTTTCACAGGCCATGTCACCGAAAAGGGACGGTGGCCTTCCGGGTGACCCAGAGGGCCGGTGGCGTAGCTCCTGGCTGTCTTCGGGTTTCCTCCTTGGTTTTAACATCCTCAGTAACGTGTCGCTGCAGACCCGACCTCCGGCCCCGTGGTCTCCCGCAGAGACCCCCAAAGCCGTCCCCTGTGGAACTCACACTGTGGTGACTCAGCGGGGCCCGCCCACGAAAACGACACCGTCGTGTGCGTCCTGTCCTGAGGCCGGAGGCCACCGTGTGCCCAGGGTCATCGCCTTTCCCCACCGGCCGGGAGCTTTCCTGGCTCTCTGGGGTCTCCACCCATGCGCCCGGCCCCTGCTGCCGTGGCAGGTGTGTCCCCTGCAGGGTGACGTGCTGCCTGTGCACGTGGGAGGCCATCGCCTCCACCCCTCACGTCATCCCGGGCCGGGCGCTGCCCCCAGCACGCCCGGCTCCCACGGCGCCTCGCAGGGCATCTCACAGGGCATCCCTTACCGCACAGCGCATGCGTTAAAACCCCAGGGCGCGGGGGGAGGGGGTCCAAAGCTACAAATGTCCAATTATACAATGAATGGCTGAATCACGGGGATGCAGCGGACAGCGTGATGGCCATAATTAACAATACTGCCTTGCACATTTGAAACTAGCTAGCAGCCAGGTCTCGAAAGTTCTCCACATAAGAAAAAAAAATTTCTAGCTTCCTACGGTGACGGATGTTAACTGGACTTATCGGGGCGATCATTTCGCAGGGTATGCAAATGGCGAATCATTATGTCGTATGCCTGAAACTAATATGTCATATGTCAATTATACCTCAGTTAAAACAATTGTCTTCCCAATGAATTCTCTATTTTTAAAAAATCATAATGAAATATTAAAATGCAGCTCCCATTATTCAGTAAGCTATTTGCCTGTGGGCATTGGGCAGCTTTACAAAGCCAATGTGAAATTATCTTAGAATCCCCTTGATTGAATGTTACATACATCTGAGTGTTCTATGATTTCACCAAAAAATTTTATTCGTGTCTTGGATTGTCACCTAAAACTGTCGGTAAGAGATAGGACAAGGACATGGGGGGCGGGGGGGACCCTTCGCAAGTCCTATAAATGTCTAACCACTAAAAAAAATATTTTTAAAAAATACAGAAACTGTTCTAAAAAATTAAAAGGCCATGAAAAACTTGTAAGACTTGTTACAATTTAGTGAATTTGATCAATAAAACTAATTTACTTTGTAAAAAGAAGAAATAGGACAAGGCTGAGGAGTCGCTGCTGTTACTTGGTTTTGCTGTTTTTTAAGTGACAGGAGACGGGGACTTTCGTAAAGAAACCAGGGGTTGATCGGATTCGGAAGGAAAGAACAGGGCTCTGTGTCACCACTCATTGTTTAAGCACCAGGCCACGCGGCCAGCCCGGCTGAGCCCCAGCCCAGCCCCGCACACAGCATGGCGGACTTTCAACAGGCCGGTGGCAAGGTCCTGCCTCCATCCGGGACGTCACACAGATTTGGAGAAAGGTTTGGTCTGTGCCTCAGTAGGTAAGGACGGCTCTTCCCTAAGTGGCTGTCCCAGCAGCTGGGTGCTTACTGTCCTCTACACGAAGCACCATCTGCCCCCCCAGACTCCTCCAGAACAGGCGTCGTAACCGTGTCATCGGAACAGGGATGCCGTGGGGGAGGCAGGCGCCCACCCCGTGTGCCCTCTGCACGGCCCACAAGGCCTCGCCGCCCTCGGGGACCTGTCTCCCGAGTCGCTTTCTACAGAGAGGCACCAATCTCAGAAAAGGTCCTCAAAGAGGCAGCGAGTCCTGCAGGTCCGGTCCCCGTACCCCGGGATTTGGGGGATGCACCGTGGGGCCTCACACTTCACCGCCCTCTGCAGCCTCCTCCTCCCCGCCCTGAGCTGTCCACACGGCAACCGCACCCACAGCGCCCCGCAGTGGCTTTCCTGTCTGCAAGATGCGGGTGGCCACGGCCCAGGTTTTCCTATCCAAGACCCTTTCCGGCAGGGGACAGACTCAGCCTATCTGCGGATCAAGAGTGCGGGGTTGAAGGGACACCCCGGCCCAACAACAGTGGTGGTCCCTGTCCCTCCCCACGCCCGTCAGCGGGCAGTGACGGTAAACAGGGCAGAAGCTCCCACGCCCCTTCCAGAAACCCCAGGACCTCTTTTGGGAAATACTTTCTTCATAATTAGTGTCTTTGGAGAAACTGCTACTTATTTCTTAAACGTATCTGATGTTTTCCCAGAGGTCATGTCATCCAGCATTACGGGGAGGCCCACCCCAAAATCGTCCGACTTCATTTTAAAACCGTCTCTCCTCATGCCTCCCCCCTCGTCAACCCAGCAAATCTTTCCTTTAAATGACCCAAGTGCCCGAAGCATAACCACGGCTCAGGCAGATCTTTAGAAATTACTTTATTTCAAACATTTACAATTTTCACTTTAAATGCGAAACAGCTGATGTAAAGAAAAATAAAAACATTGGAAAAGACGCCGCACTGCCCCTGTGCTCCGTATGCAGGCATCGGCCTTTGGCATTCGCTTTCAGGTAATCAGGTAAAAAACACGACGACGACAAAAACTTAAAACTATTATTCTCTCCAAAAAAAACAAAAACAAAAAAACACCAAAGTTGAGGTATTCTATTTAACAGATGTGTGACCCCATCCAAAAATGGTTTCCCTATCGACAGCCTCGCTGCACACCGTCCGGACATATGTTCCTGCAACTGACAATGTTCCCTAAGCACTAAGGTTGCCATGGAAACGTCTGATGCCACACTATGCCGAGGACATGGTGCTGGAAGGACTTCGAGGGACGCTCGGCGGAGCCAGAGCCGCTGGCCTCCAAACCCCAGCCCCGCCGGCCTAGCCGGCTTCCCGCCCACGACCGGCAAGACCACTGGTCACCCCTGCTTCTCCAAATTAAGACAAATTTCTCCACCTACTCTGCCAGGAGCTGGACACCAGCCTCCACCCCCGCTGAGGCCTCCTTAGACGGGGCAGGATAGCTTTGCATCCACGTGGCCAGGCAAG